GTTATATTGTGCTAAGCCTTCAGCTGGCTTGATCCCATGTTATGGCTGCAGCGACACGGCAATTTTAGGCCACCCGTGCATTTGTCCTAAATGGTGCATGGGTTAATGCATCTGCTTCAATTTAATAAGCTGCACAAGTCGCAACTGATTTTACTGTAATGTTAGTGCCTTCGGCTCGTCTTGTTCCATAGGTCTACTCTGTATTGACACGTCCGCGCGGCAAACCTTCCGCGCCACACTTAATTTTCATACGCTCTGATCTGATCGGTTTAGTGCTGATTAGCATTTCACAAAGAGTTGTCTCCTTATAATGTGCAAACCAAAGACGTTGAATTAATACCAAGGTTGGAATTCGAAAGTCAGGGTGCAGGTGCAAATCTTTCATTTTGTTTTCTAACGTTCTTTTCTATTCCATTGACCTCATCGTTTACTGCCCTTAATGCCTTTCTTGCTGCTTTCTTGCATGCATTCCCACGCAGTAAGTGTAACCGAGAAACGTCTAATGGATTGACAATGGGTGCACCCTGAGTAGCCATTTGTTTCCGGCGTTTCTCTAACCTCTGTCGTGAATATATACTTCGGAGTCACAAACCTCGTTACTACATCGGAATACAGTCCTCAAATCTTAAAGCCGCACTGATGAGTATTCCATATGATTGAACTTTGTGTCCTATGTGTCTCAGTGGGTAGGCCAATGACACTATAAACTATCTATCAGCCGTGGCATCTCGAGCACACGCGCGGACTGAGTTTGATTTTGTTAATTGCTAACGATTCAATCTTCATTGTTATATTTAAACTTCGCTGGCAAAGCAAACACCTCGGGGTGTCAGCTGGGTGTTTCGGCTTTGAGCCGTTTCTTCAAATAGTTCTGCGTCAATGTTTCAGGACGTAGTAGGCTTTTACCTTGCTATCGTTTTCCTTATAAAAGCCACAGATATTTGCTTAAGAAAACTGCGCCTTGGCAGACGTAGTTAGACGCTAAATAAATTTTCCACGAAATCTTATACTAACAAGTTTCTCAAATCCACAGCCGTCAAAACCTTCTTCAGACACCGGCGATGCGATCGAACTCATTCAAAAGTATAGTATGATATATACAAAACACAAGCGACACCCCTACATACATACCTGGAGTTAGTGATACACATATATGTAAATCCTATTATTCTATTGTATAATTCCTGCTAACTTGTTGTACTATTGCTATGTGCACTACTTTAATGCCTTGCCTCGCGTAGCCGGGAGTAGAAACACCTTTAGTTTATTATTTTCTATTCCACTGCGAAGGACTTGGGGACATGTTCAACTGGGACGGCAAGCCATCCATCCGTTCGTCTTTCTCTCTTATGTTCCATTACCCTTCATACTAGTTTTGGGTTACCGGTAAAGCGGGGACTACCAGCACAGACCAGGCTGGCGGATTTTGATAGAACATGCAGTGAATCCAGTGTTTTGAAAGAACCATGTACATGCTAATGATTTCCTTATGGTCCCCGTCGCATTGGTCCTGGACTATTTGAAAATCCATTGCTTGCAGCGCCGCTCAAATCAAGGATAAATGCGCGAAGCCGTATCTGCCCTGGATGCAACCACTAACCAATCTGGACAACGTAACTCGGTATTTTACTTTCAACAATCCTATCGTTCTTAGACGCAGTTTTTCTTTTGGTGAATACGCTCCTCTTGAAATACCGTTGCATGAAGGAATAATGCAATCCGAATGACGCAGATCAACCCTACTGTGTAGCGTTCGGCATGTGCCTGAAGCTGCTTAGAAATGCACGCGCTCAGTTCCAAAATTCCTAATGAAGGCTGATGGTAAGCACTGAAGGTGAGCATTTGCTTTCCAATGGACCGGGATGGCGATGGTGCTTCTCTAAATGGAAGGTGAAAAACCTGATTCGTGCAAAAAATGGCAGCACGAACCTTTTATAACGCATGTGTTAAGTTGCGGTTACACTTTTGTGCAGCGCGTCCTTAAAATCAGATGGCGGCCACTCTTGACAATAGCCTCGTTGCTGAGCTGATTTTGCGAGGGGTTATAGACAAACAGCATCTACCCGTTTTACCCTTTATCGCGTGGTTATCAGTAACCTATGTGCATGTGTGATAGCTAAACGCACATCTACAATTTTGCGCTGCAGTTATGCTGAAGGCAAGGCGCACGCCGATGGATCCCACGCGGGTAGTATAGAGAACAGTAGACAAAAGAGCGGAACTATCACATTACCCGTAAATATGTAATATACGTTTGGATTGAAAGGTGTATTTTCCGTGAAAATAAATACAGTAAAATGCTAAACGTGTCTGCGCTTAGCAGGGAAAAACAGACGGTGGTGCAGCAACGCAAAGGAATGTTTGTCAAATGCATCAGTACGAGAAAGATTATGCTGCTAATTCTTTCCGGAGTGAGCAATAGCTTGCTAAAATGAGTACAGCACATCCTCTATCGTGTAGGAAGTTAGTGCGGGGGAAGAGGAGATTGTGGTGCGTTAGCGTGAGGTGATATATAGGAAATCCTATAAAAGCGACCGGGTTTGTGCTGCCAAGTTTTTCTGAGCGACTTGTTGGTTGCCTACATTACCCCGCGCAGCGTATTTTCTGTCATTTATCGATCATCCTTGGGGCGGACTTCGGTTAGCTAACGGTTGCTTATCGAGCACATGTGCTACCTGCGATAGTACCAAAGAATAAACACAGCAAAACGTTTGTTCTGCGCTTGCCCACCTGACGGACCTGGTGGCGTCAATCTTATTACCCTGAGCATATATTGTGAAACGGAAGGTTATCCGATAGTTCCAGAAACTGCACTGCACAACAGTTGAGCAGTAAAACCGTTACAGCAGCCTAAGCCAGGGCCCCATGTTTGGAAATGTAGCATTATGGTGAATGTCAAAATGTCTAGCAAGATCCCGAGTGCAGCTACCGCTAAAAGTATCCTAACACACCCTAATCCCGTAACAACAAAGCAAGTAAAAACTAGTAGTATGTCCATTCGAGGATTTTGGGAACTTACTTGCCTGGTGGGTATATAAATCGTCACGGACCTGGGAAGACACCATGCAAAACAAATACGCCGGAGGTGATTGGATGCTCATCTCCCAAGTACCTAAATGGGGTCCACCCTAATTACACATGAAGGCAAAGAGAAGAGGAAACAGCAGCGGACGTCTAACCAAGCTAATACGAGCTTCATACGCAACAAGTGTAAGCTCGGGCCCGCTACAACGGTGTGAAGAGAAAGCTAGGCGCGGTGGCTTGTTATCAGTAGTTGGAACCATATTCATTATGCCTTAAAGAAAGGTGCCGAGACGGAGGCAGTCATTTGTGGACTGGATAGGCTTTACCTGGATGAATCCTCAGACGTATCGCAAATAATATGGGTGGGATCACGGAGATCCCACTATCCATGTTCCAGGAAATTAGAGGGGTGGCCCAGGTTTGCGCAGAGCAAAGGACAGTATTACAAATGCTGCACTACAGGAAGCAAAGATTTGTTTACCTGTACTGGACAGGAAAGCGTACAAAGGTAGGGAGCTAACGATTCCTTATAACACGGCAGGTTTTGACCTACATTAGTTTCAATTTGGACACTGTTAATTACGGGAAAAATTTTACCCATGCCAAGACACAGGTCTCACGGATTGTAGACCAGCCGTCATATTTCGGCAGGTTTTTGGCCAAGCAAAAAACAAAAGGGATTATAAAAATAGATGGCACATTATGTCGTTTGTAAAATAATAATATACCATTAGCGCAGCTTTGATAGACCATGAGTGACTATATTAAAAAAATGAAAAAAGCTCAGCACGCGCGAACGTGTTGCCGCAATGAATCGTCGTTTTCCTGCGGCTGGCCGTCTCAATGGAAATAAGTATGCAGTATTGCGCAAGTACAATATTGGGAGAACATCTCTGCTTATTGTTAACAGTATCTTGAAACCTAAAATGTTCATTTACATCATCTGTTAAGGATGCTCTGAAAATATTTTTGTTTGACCGAAAGCAGTCCTACATGTATCCAACAGCGCTACGCCTCCTGCCTTGTTAAGTGAGGACTACTAATTTCGTGACATACGTAAGCCGTAAAAGGCCGGGGGGTGAGAGGCATATTGTTACCTTGCAGCCGACTGAGCAGGTACACCAAACCAGTTCAGTTACATTCGGAGCTGGATGGTGGGTGCGCCTGTGTTAACCCAGGCAGTAAGCTAGACGACCATGTCACAGTTGTCGTTGGAGGAGTGAGCGTAAAGCGACTCGGTAGATGGCGTGAAAGCGCTGGCGAGCTGGCTGCTCAAACAACACTTAAGATACTGTGATGTGGTAAAGAGAAAAGGAAATTCAAAACCAGGGCTAGGCCGATGTAAATGTACCTACTTATTTGCTACGTAGACTTTGTGACGCAATACACAAGCTGGATTTCTGGGGCGAAATAAGGTATTCAAGGCTTGTTAAATGTAAAACGCGGTGGTTTTTAGATCCATCATGTTAAGTGAGTAACATAGTGTGACACAAGTTTAACTTGTACGGAACTCATCGAATTAGATGTGAGTTTACAAATATTTGTTTAATTATATTATAAGTAGCGGTTGATTTGAACAAATGGAATTCATCTACGGGACCAACAAATTCACCGGTTACCGGCTTTCGAATTATCGATGCCATATTTTGGTGTACTTGTTAATGAAGCTAGGATACATCACCTTTTATGATTTCTCATTTACAGTGTCGCAAAATATGTGCGTAACGTTTTATATTTAAATATATTACTTTTAATCAGGTTCTTGTCGTTTGCTATATTAACATACACGAAGGAGCAACCAATAGTGTTATTAAACTAATATAGCCATCACCTTAACATTAACTAGTAATCCGTATTCGTGTATATTCTCACTAAGCACTTTTGCACCTTTACTTTTAAGGCAGGACAAAATATAGGCAACCCTAATCCTGGGTTCAGGTTCACCCTAACTCTAAACAGCCCATGTTTCTGGCATTTTATACCCGTGAATTCCCCGGTCCCTTTAACTTTTTGTCCTGTTAGTCTAATTATTTTTTTGGCTTTTTGGCCGCTTTTGCTTCAGTACTTTCCGTTCAAAATCAACTTATTTCTTTTGCGTTCTAAATTTGCCAGTGCATGTGCCCTATCAAATTGCAGTTTTTGGGCTCTTTTAAGTTACTGGAGCACGAATCGGGACGATCGTTATGCGGAAGTTTGTTTCATCCCTGCATCTTGTCCTGACCTCTCATCGCACTTGCATGACTCGTTCTATCTCGTACTCGACAAATCATGTTCCTTTGCTGAACGATTCCAACTGATGCAAGTGGACATGTCATCATGATTTGCTCTCACCGTCGTCAATCTACTGCTCTCACCACCCTACCGGCACGAGAGTCCGCTGACCCTCCGTCCACAGTCCACTTAGAGTCCTTGATAAGTCCCACTTCATAATTGAGTTATAGAGCGTAAAGGGAGGTCCTATATCAGCCCCATCACCTTCAGTTAGAACATAGCATGTCATTGGAATCAGGAGTCCTGGTGGACTGGGACCGTCACATTAGAACAGTGTCAGATCACACTTGGAATCCTGGGTGCGACAAGATGGCCAATCCACAGCCTAGTTGTAACGAGCTTGTCTCGTAATGTTGCGGCGCAGGTTCGAGCCTTCGTAGGGGCAGGGCGACCCTCGCAGTATTCTTAGCCCACGTGCAACTGGTGGTTGTTGCGCTGCAGCGTGGCGTCTTTACTGCGTACCGGCGTAATGTGATGCTGTGCCGCGACAGGGTAGCAGTTGGGTGAGTTCTGAGAACTGGCACAAAAATTGTGCATAGGTTAAGGAATTTTGTATCCCGATAGGCTGTTCAGCTGGCGAATGTTTTCGATAAATTATTGGTGCCTTCGGGGCTGATTGACCTTTACGCGTCATATACTGACTAGCCATATTGGCCCTGATCCATCTCAGCTGTTCCGTTCCACTCGGGTGCCAACTCATCGTGGTCACTATCTGAAGCTGCATAAGGCCAGACCCGATCCCATTAGGGCTGACTCGTTTAGTACTTAGGGAACCCACTACCCAAGGATGTGATAGTAGCATCAGCGGTAAAGAAGTTTGAATGTCGACTCGATACCCTTAGATTGCAGTTCCAAACCTGCCATTTGAACTCGTAAATTCCGCTTGCATTTCCTTGACTTCCCATCCCTTATTGCTACTATTATCTTATATAGTACAGTTATACTTGCATTACATATGTTTTTATTCGCCTGACTGGTACAGCTAGGACTGCTATTGCAAGCAACGCAGGCATTAGTTGACCAGGATTGGATTCAAGTGTATTGGTTTGGCTCTCCTCGGTTTCAAAGTATTTACGCGAACTGTCCTTTCTCAACAACGCAGTCAAAAAGGCACATACATGGGGATTTTCCTTTCAATTAAAGCCTTGTTCATCACGCATTTATATTTCTTGTCATGTTTAGACACGTAGCGCCACAGTGCTCGCAGTGAATGTAGCAGGGTACTTG